TTCTTGTTTTCATAAACAATGGTCACAAAATTTCCAACTTCCATTTCCTCCTAGAAGTAATTTTCTACCACCTACTACGCTTTTGAAAAAAGAATTCCTCTCGTAATCCTTACAAAAAGTGTGTGAATAAAGAACAATGGTTCATTAAATTCGTGATGAGTTTACACCTATTACAAAATGAACTGTTACATGAACATTACGTTTAGAAATGCAACACCTTGATGACAAAAGGAATGCAGCTGCTGTAATCTGCACCTTTCTGAGATATTGAGGCGTCTTTATGCATTACCAAAGCGACAGAAGAAAACAGTATGTTTTTCATGTCATTTCTCGAGATGATTAGGAAGAACAGCAAACTGACTAAAAAGTAAACTCTTTCACTCCTTTATCTGCATATAAATAAGGACTAGTTACTTATCAATATCTACTGTCACGGTTATTTTTAATTTATACATGTAAAAATCCTTCTTCGTATCCATTTAAACTTTTTGTTCACAGTTACATTTCTGATTTTGTTTTCCATGCTAATTTTTCGTTATACATATATTTTTCAGTTAGCTTATAGTTTTATATCAAAAACGCTAGCATATTCAAAATTGCTTCGCCAAACTATTAACATCAGATAAATTCCATCTTGTAGGAGTTCAAAATATTCTTCGTCCAAAATTGCATAAAACAAGTGATGAAGAACCGTTCTTATTCCTCCCTATGTTCTTGTTTCTTTTCAGTTGAAAGTTCTAATTTTCCGTTCCAACCCATGTTTTTCGAGTCGGTTTGCTCAAAAATTTAAAAGCGTAATCTCTGAAATTTTTGTTTTAAGCAATTTGCATTAACGATATCATAGGATGGAGGGAGATCCCTATCAGCAAATAGCTACACGAAAAAATCAATGTTTAAGTCTAGTATTTTCCCTTCATATTTGAACAGCTTATAGAAGTAGAGAATACTTTTTAAAATTTTTATCATCAAATACAAACAACAATAACAACAACAACAAAAGTTAAAAACAGATGTCAAACACTGCATATAAGGAATATTCACTTTATATAAAAACAAAAACTTTTTTTGCAATTCATTGCATATATATGATTGCCACAAAAACAAAAAACGAGAATATCAGTTTTCTCAGCAACGACACTTAAGAGGTAAGAAAAATGATGATCAAACAGTTGTATTAAAAATGATTAAAATAAATAAATAAATAAATAAATAAATAAATAAAATAGATAAGAGACGAAACAGATTGCAGTGATGAAATGTGATAACTTGACATCAATATATGACTAATCTAATGCAAAAAAAACTATCATCAAGATTTAAAACAAGGTAAGAAGTTAGTGACAAGAAAACACTTGAAAGTCAATGTTTATTCTGCATAAAACAGATACTTTACTGGATCAACAAGTACAGCGGCTATACTAGACTGTCTAAACAATAACAACAAGTGCCGCTATTATTTTTATAAACTTTAAAATATAGAACTTTATCAGCATAGATAATAATAAATTACAGTCATTATCGAATAAAAACTACAGAAATATATGGACGGAACTTTTCATCTAGTAATAACTACCGGAGAGAGGCATTTTTTGAAACCGGTTAAATTGATTGCGTTATTTTAAAATCAAATGTCTTTATATCCCATTTGTGCCGCAGATGGTATATTAGGTTTGACTGTTGACGACGACGGAGTTGGCCATATGTGGCGTAATGCGTGTAATCGATTTTCAATACGATAGGCTAATCGAATTAGATATAGTGAATGAAAAAAGAGTAAAATAATAAATATGAGAAATGCTAGTGATGTCCTAAAAGAATAGGATTTTAGACGATTTATCATTAATAAAAATTTCTTTAATATTCTTTCTGTCAGAGAATTTTCTTGTGTTATTACTGTTGATGAGTTTAAAGAAGGTGGAAATAATAATACACTATCGTTGTCTGTAGTTGTGGTGTTATCATTCTCAATATTCGTCATGGGTTCAGGAGTAACAGAACGATTTTGAGAATGGTTCTTTATTCTCTGATTAGAAACATTTTTATCTAACAATTGACGATGTGTTGATGCACTTCGAGTTCGGTGTAGTTTGCGTATACGATCTGGATGTTGGGGATGTTCTGAAAATAAGAAGTAGTTTTATTCAAGATGTTCTTTAGTATTTCTCCCAATCATCATCAGTTATAATTAGGAAATAATTTTTAGACTTTATCAGAGAAGAATGATAAACTAACTAAAAGTAAGGAATTTAATCTTAATTTATGTATGAATTTTAAGCAATAATTTAATATGAATACGTACTTTTTGAATCTGTTTTATGACTGATACTTTTCTGTTTATAATTTTGCTGTTTTACGTCTGGATGTCGACCACATAAATGTTCAGCTGGGGCTTTTATAATCAATCGATCGGTATCAGCTGCTGCATCTGTATGCATTTTTAAATTGATACTAACATCTTTCAATTTTCTACGTTTCTTTTGTTGTTGTTTCTCGTCACTACTTTTAGATGTTACGGATGGTTGTCGCTCCTGTTGATTGTTCTTTTTAAATAGTTTATCCTGTTCGGCTTGTTTTGTCTTTTCTTCTTGATCAATGCAACGTTGTATCACATCATCGACTAATCTATCATCCTTGTTTGTTAAACTATTACCATCTACTCTTTCATTATATGAACTTGTTAATGCATTCTCACGTTTATTACCATTGACATTATAACATGTACACGGCTGAGCTTTCAATGTTGAATTTTTTGTACCATTTTCATCTTCAGTATCTTCTCTTGTCGACTCGTTTTCTAAATAGGTATTCCATAATTGAAGTATGGTGTCATATGCGGCATCACGCATTAAAAATGATGCATAAATAACTTTTTTTCCAGTTTCTTTGATTTGTATACCAATTGCTGTTGGAAAAATAAATGCTACACGTTCTTTGGTGACATTTTCAATTTGATCCCAACGATAGACATGCTTTGTAACATAGGCAATTATTCGTGAATGAAAACATAAATATTTATCAGTCATATACATTTTACCTTGTAATAAAATATCACCTTGATAAGCACACACATAATGATCAATTAATTCGGGCATATCAGATATTTCTTTTAAAAATAATTTTTGAAATTGTTTACGTTGTCTTGCTGATGCCCTTAGTTCTGGTAAATATTGACCTCCTATTTGACGAAAATCTTTACCCTCTTCTTCGGACGGTGACAAATCATCACTATCCGATTTGTCCGATAAACTGTCAAGTAACTCTTTTGATTGTGATTGTCTATTGTTATTTTTATTTATGCTGTTTGTTCCTGCATCAAATGATGGTGAAGATCGATCGTAGTTCTGTAATTGTTGAGGATTTAGAGCCAATGAATTTGTATTGAGTTGTGATCCTTTTGTCAGTTTCGTTTCATCGTTACGATTCATGGAGGTTATCCCGACAGAACGAATTGACATATCTGTATTCGACATATCCGTCGTTTATTCAATGTACTTCTACAAAAGGGAAACAAAAAAATTCATCATATTTCCAAAAATGATACTCTTCTTAAATTCTTTTTCAAAAGCGTAGTAGGTGGTAGAAAATTACTTCTAGGAGGAAATGGAAGTTGGAAATTTTGTGACCATTGTTTATGAAAACAAGAG